TGAAAAGCTAAAGTCTAATAAATAATAATGAGGTACATAGTCAGGCCTCCTGCCTGGAGGTAATTACTTTCCAGAAACTTGGAATGAGTGGCTGACCCAACCAGGGCCAAAGGACATTTTCTCACAGTGGTCCTTAAATGAACAAAAATATAACATGTACATAAAACAATGAAGATGATAATAATTTCAATACTTGGAAAATAGGTGAACATAAAAACAATCCAAAACTTGTGGAAAAGAATCCCACACATTTACTATTGGGATATAAAATATTAAGAAACTTTCTGTAGAAATAGGAAAAACCAAAGGTGCCAAAAAAGATAACATTGAAATATGTTTCAAATATTTCACCGGTTACATAGGAAAATGATGTTTTTCAAGAACAACGGGTATAAATAGAGTGCATAATCTCAAAGGTCATCAGGGGCCAGATAAAAAATACCTCCACATCTGAAAATGTTCTACATGGCATGAAGAACCAACATGCGTGGTTTCATGCTTTTTAGTTACAAGTGCTAAGTGCACAATATAATCTGATATACATAATTAACAACCCCACTCAAATTGTATCACAAGCTTCTCCGTATGGAGAAAACATATTTGTCTACATTCGTACGAACGGCGTTATTTTCCCTGCGTTAACTGTATATAAGGTTTTAAAAAAAAAATAATGCTGGGGGTAATAATTATGACGCTACCCGCATGCACCGGCCCACATTTTTGTTCTTTGTTAATTTGCTACGAGCTTTTAGTGAGGTACCTTAGTGACAAAATCGTGACACGGTGGACAAAAGCACCATTTTTTCACCAAAGCATCTCCATGGTGTACCTTTTCGAAAAAAAGACGGACTCAAATCTTTGGATGATGGGAAGGGCATGTATGACGTCATTATGACGTCATCAGCTAATTATTACATGAAATATATATAAATTGATAATATCTTCTGAACTACAAACATCACAACAACAAAAGTCGCATCAAATGAAAGGGAACAACAAGACCTTTCATTTGAGTGGTATGTCAGGGGCGTGGAATGTAGTAAAGGGTGGTTTTGGGGGCCAAAAAAAACCAACACTTTTTTGGTCAAAAAACCTGATTTTTGGCTAAAATCATGTATTTTATGTGTTATTGTGAGATTTTGTTTTTAAGTCAGAGAAAAAGATTCAAATTCTATGCCAAAAGAGTTTTTGCAATTGATTATTATTTTTTGTAATAGATTATTAGTATCTTAAATGCTTAAACTTGTTCCTTGGATAGGTGGAAAAACCGCTGTTACCGTAAGGAAAGTTATCACCATTTTAAGGTATGGGCCAAAATGGGACTTGTACTACCTTGATAAGGTCCAAAAAATAGTTCTGCTTCCCATTACATGGCATTTGAAAACAGGGTTGGTAGGTAGGGATTTTTTTGTTTGTGTACAATCATATATGGAGGCGTCTGCATGTAGTCAAGGGTGAAAGGGAGAAATTGATTGTTTTGGGTTCTTTTTTTTCTCATTTTCCCCATAAAACAAATTAGGGTATGGGCTGTCAGAATAGGGTAGGTAGGGAAACCGGAAGCAGAACAGTTTACTATCATTTTTTGTTGGCCTTATACATAGTTTAGTTACCAGCAAATAGATGGTATGTATTACTTTTATCAATGCATGTCCAGTTTTAGGAGACTTTTGAATAAAGACCTCCAACAAATCATACATAGGCCTACGTTCTTTTTAAATATCGAAAGTAAAAAAGCTTAAACTGTTGTGCAACAGCCCACAAATAAAAGCTTACCACTTTGTATTCATTATGTTCAAATTGACTATCTGATTGTTGAAAATTAGTAAATTAGCATTAGTAAAGAGACTCCTTTTTGCATCTCAAAGTGCCTGAAAATGTAAAGTTGTCGTGGAATCGCCCATAAACAATCAGAATAAGTCAGGAGTAAGCCCAATCCATTTGGGGTCAAATCGGTTAGGATGATCTGGGGTGAAATGGAGAAATGAGCAGCCCTATCTCCACTGAAGTACTCCATTGCATAGCACAGCGTCTCAACATTATCATCTTCCAATACAATTCTAAGGACCAGTTCTACGAGGAACTCAACACCACCATCAGAGGTATCCCTGTCGTAGAACAACTGTACCTCCTTGGCGAATTCAACGCCCGAGTGGGATCTGACCACAACTCCTGGCCCAGCTGCATCGCTCACGTTGGCGTTACCAAGCTAACTGAGAATGGGCAGAGGCTGCAGAGGCACCTCAGATCCCGTCACTGGCTTCAGCTTCATCTCGTCATCACAGGAAGACCCTCACGAAACTGCGTTCTCATCACACGCAGCGCTGACTGTAATACAGACCACTCCCAAATAAACAGATCCACCGCTCAAAGCAAAAAAAGACGCCCATACTTCAAACATTGCCAGGACGTCAATCCCAGATCTGTGCAACACGAGGAATTTCCCTTCTCGGTATCGTTAAGAAGGCCTTCGCCCTTGTAGTGCTGAACAGATCGCAGCTGCTAGCTGAGCGCACAAACCCTGGGAGGCAGTGCGGTTTCAGAGCTGAAAGATTAAAGATCGACATTATCTTCTCCATTGTCTTCGACTAACGGCAGCTCCAGGAGAAGTGCCGAGAGCAGCGACTACCGATGTACTGACCGCCGACCTAGCCGATGAAGCCCTTTGACCTTCGTCAGTAGAAAAGGCCTCTTCAGGCTACTGCAGAAGATTAGATGTCTCCAAGTCATCAAAACATTCAATTCCATTACTTTATCAGCATCGGACATATGATGTGCACAAAAGTTGAGCACCGCCGAACACTGGATGTGATCTGTCCGGATCATCTCTAGCAACATGTCTGCAACGAGGTTAACACAAACTCGAGTGCAAATACCTTACCAGTTCGTTGATGTGTCAAAAATACGGAGACAAGTGGAGAAACCAACTCTCCCAAATGAAGGCATATAACGTTTCCGGAATCATCTGCCATGGTTCGATACACCTTATGGGTATACCAGCAGAATGACTGGCAACGTGAGAAGTTCCAAGTGGTCAATGTGCCAGGACCAGCTATCAATGGGCTCCCTACTATACGAGCCGCACGTACCCTACGAGCCGCACCCTACACTTGGTCAAAATCTACACTGGCACACTGCCCCCAAAGCCTCAGGCCCCCACAGGAACCAAAGCGCTGACCACTACCACTCCGGTGAGAGACATACAAGACCTGAAGGACAGGCTCCCAACGCAGTTTGATACTTTTGACGACTTAGATACGCGCTCTCCTACACCTCAAGCCAGATACTCAGTCCCACATAAATCCGCCACAATAGGTGCAGCTTTCATATCAAACCGAAACCGCAGGCCGAGCTGAAAAAGACTGAGAAAGGCTGAGTCACATAATAGCAGCTAAACACATAATATTTTCTAAAGATCCCCACTCTTGAGGAGCTCAAGCCAGCATTGCACTGGAAAGGTTCTCCTCCAAGCTAGACGTCAAAAGCAGGGTATTGGTCTGCTCATCTAGGGCAGTCTGAAAAACTGACAACATACAATTTGGTTGTTAACAGCTTTTGTCGCCCATTCATCGGCTTATCAGTAAGCCAAGATAATAGTCCCCAAAAATATTGATGGCAAAATAAGCTAGATGCCTTGATGCGTTGGAACAATCAACGCGACGACATTGCAGTATTCGGTCTCCCTTGAAGAGCATTACGAGCGGCCGAATGTCTCATCGCCCTGATGGAAACTGCTGGTTCCTTAGCCATAGTCAACAATGTCTCACACCCAAAATTGCGCAGACAAAGTTGCTCCCTTCAGCGATCTTCTTCGAAAAGATGTACCATTTCTCTGGGAAGAGGACCATCAAGCTTCTTTTACAACCCTTAAACACTCCATCTCAACTCAGTCCTGGCTACGATTCTCCGACACACACTGTATAGAAACCATCCTCAAAGTAGATGCATCTGAAAGAGGATTGGGCAACACCCAGGAAGGTAAACACATCGCATTTTCCTCAAAGAGCCTATAGATCCTCTTCCCAGAGCATATTCTCGAATATCGAGAGGGAAGCTGTAGCACTGCTGCAACTTCATTCGGCTCCAACTTCATTGTTGTCACTGACCATTAAAACCATTGGTTACGATCTGGCGCAAAATCCTAGCCAGAGCACCACACCACCTGCAGCGTCTTATGCTATAAGGATACAACTTCGACGATATCTACAAACCTGGTGCTATGATGGTGATCGCAGATGCACCCGGCAGATTGCCCAACCCCTCCAAGCTCGACAACGAGACACGTGATGAATCTGTAACTTAGATACACTGGGATGGGCACCCGACTGTAACTTATGTGACATTTTTTTGTCCGCCTATCTTTGGAATAAGTTTAAACATTTAAGATACCAATAATCAATTACGAAAACTCTCTTGGCATAGTATTTGAACCATTCTCTCTGACTTAAGAACCAAAACTCACAATACCACTTACGGTTTGCATGTTAAAACAAGGTGCCAAAATGATTACCCCAAATCCATGATTTGAGCACCAAATTTTTCATTTTTTTTAACCAAAAAAGGGCTTTTTGGAAAAAAAATCCACCCTGTACTACATTCCATCCCACTGACATACCACTCAAATAAAAGATCTTGTTGTTCCCTTTAATTTGATACCACATTTGTTGTTGTGATGCTTGTTGTTCTGAACATATTATCAATTTATATGTTTTTCATGTAATAATTAGCTGATGACGTCATAATGACGTCATACATGCCCTTCCCATCATCCAATTTTTTGCGTCCGTCCTTTTTTCGAAAAGGTATACCATGGAGATGCTTTGGTGAAAAAATGGTGCTTTTGTCCACCGTGTCACGATCCTTGGCATTTTTGTCACTATTAGGTACCTCACTATTTGGGGGCGAGTTGGCTGCGCCTCGCCTCGCCTCGCCTCCCCTACATATTTTGTTGTAACAGTAACTCCCATTATGGTTACTCCCATCCTAAAAAAGGACCGAGACCCGGCTCTGGGTGCTCGGTGTATGTGTCTGTCAACGTGCCTCCGGTTTGTTTGGGCTCGCCTAGCTCATGGAGGAATAAGAACTATTCCTCCATGGCGAGCTCTAGGCCCACGAAGCTTGTACATTGTATCAGAATTAAAGTCGTATTCGTTCTGAAAACCTATCGTGTCGATCTCCCTTGATGTGGCCGCCATGCCGTGCCGCACCGCGCTGCACGCGCACAGTCGTAGCGTGCATGGTGGTGGAAGGTCCGGACCGACACCCAGCTACGCGACATGAGGACGTGACATAGCTTATGAGGACGCGACGTGACATACCGTTGTATAGCTTTAGGTATGTATTTGTATAATTATGTTGTTTTAGTACCCCCCCCCCCAGCGTTACTGTCATTTTATTCACCAATGTATTTCTGACATTAACCATGTGTCGTCTATTGTTATGTCATGAAATGATCAAATTGTCACAAAATACCTCACTGGATTGTTGTGCTGACATTTTCAAGAAAAAAAATGTATTTTTCCAACGCAAGTCGGCCAAATTGGTTTTTTTTTTAACTGCTCCTAATGTTTCATAATTAGTTATTCTGCGTTTTCTTTGCAATTGATTACTCACCTGTGAAGGGGTACAAGCCTGCTAGACTGATTCTCTGACCTCACAACTCCCCACAGTCTATAAATTGCTAAATTGCTCTATTGCTCGTTTTCATTTTAAGTGGGGTCAGGCTACAAGTTAAGACTACAAGAACAGGATTGGTTTTCTTGGTTTTTCCTGCATCTACAAGCTCAAAGCGGGAAACAAGTCATTTTAACAATATTTGCTATAACATACTAATCCTCCAAATCCATTTATTTCTGAAAATTGCAGCAAAAGCAAATGTTGTACATTCCCTTTAAAGATATCTATTTTGGTTCTGATTCTGAAGACCTTGATCTCATTTTTAATAAGCAGACTTGATATTATGCAAAACCACGAGATTTGGTCAGTGACAACAAAGTCCCGTTGTTAGGTTCATGTTTGTCAGGTCTGCTGCATTATTGTAATTGCCGATTTGCCAGATAACATAAAACAAACTATAAAAAAAAACTCTTAGAGCTTAGATCAGTTTTGGATTTCACAGACAATGCTTTTGTAGGTTTAGAAAGCGAGCAATATTGTTGGAGGCCGGCCTTAGTGCCTTTGTGATTTGAAAAGAGCCTGAAAACATGACGTATGGTCCAAGAGCTCAGTGAGGTTTAATTAGAAAATCACGCACAAAAGGTTTGATGGTAGCAGCGAGTAGGTGGGGGTGTCCAATCTTCAAAACCAGGGGCGGCGGAACCTGGGGGGGGGGGCATTTGCCCCCCAGATTTTCCCAAGTGCCCCTTTTGCGGCCATAAATGTGCCCCCTCGAACAGTAAAGTGCCCCCTCAAGATACAACAAATAAATGTGCCCCCTCAAACAGTAAAGTGCCCCCTAAAGATACAACAAAAATGCCCTTAAAGTATCTTACTATTTCTTAGTAGTAACCATATATCCCAATAATGGTATAGATATTTTTGATATAAACGAGGAATATGAAAACCAAAGTCCCAAAACCCATACAATTTGGCCTGAAAATGGGCACATAATGCATATTTAGCATATAATCATTGGTTTTATGTGTTTAATTAGAATGTTGAGCACAACGATCATTCCAACACCAAACGATAGTGTATGAGTCAGCGTTTGCAGAATTTCAACTTAATGTAAGACCAAAAGTTAGACTGACCCTGAACATACATCCCTGATACCACCCTCACAACAGGTGTTCCACATTACACCCAAGGTCTTCACGTCACTCTTTTCCAAGCAATACACCCACAGCATACCAAGACTGTGATTTAACCCTTGTACAGGGGAAAGTGACCTCATAAGGGTACTCCCCCAGACTGACCATTGCGTCAGTCCATGGTCAGTCTACCTTTACTCAGAAATGATGTCATATGAGTTATGTTTTCCTTATATGACATCATCTCCTATTTTCACTCCAAGTGGTCCCTCTGAAACTGTATAAAATGTCCACATTTTCCCACTTTCATTGAGTTCTTCTTCTTCTCCCTGGGAAACCAGAGGCATAGCCATAAGCTGATTCAGCCATATGCTCTGGCCAGTCTTCATCTACACAACTCTTCAGAACCTCTGTCTTCTGTCTCCAACTTCCGTATTCTAGTACCCAGCCATACCCATAAGCTGATGCAGCCGTATGGTCTGAGGTTATAGTTCTGTACATACACAATACCGGTAGAATATTGAGTTCTTGAAAATAAACCAGTTTTCTTAATACAAAATATCTTGCAAAATCTAAGAACGGCTTTATTTACCGTTAATTACGATTGTATGTTACTCGCTGCCACCATCAAACCTTTTGTGCGTGATATTCTAATTAAACCTCACTGGGCTCTCGGACTAGTATGCTTCAGCGTCTCTTCTGCCAATGATGCTCGTCTCGGCGAAATGTTAAAAAAAAAAAGTAACGACACCCAAAACCAGAACAAGTCCAACAACATTGAACAAAATTCTTTGGTCAATGAAATTTGTGATAAGCTTGACCAGCTCAAAAACCAAATAAATTGCCTTGAGAGTAAATTAAGTTTAGTCGAGTAACGAGCAATCACAAATTACTGGCAACGCCCAAACCGCACTTCGACAGCACCCAAACATTTTCAGTGGCGTTTGTAATCGTGCAAAATATTAAAATGGTCATAAAAAGGCCGTTACTCTAAAAATGAAATGAAACAAACAAACAAACAAACCATCAACCAGTATATTAAACTAGGGATCTGCGTAGATGGCTTTGAAATTTGAAAACTATAGGTGAGTGGATTAAGCCAAACATGTCACTCAGTGGTCGGGCGGTCTGTCGGGCCGTCTGTCTGTCTGTTCCCGAAAATTGACCAAAATATTTAACCAAAAATTGACCAAATGCCATGCCGTCGTCAGTAAATAATATACCGTTGGAAATGTATACAAAAATACAATTTTCTTGAAAAGGACTTGACACCAGGTGTCATAATTTTCTAGGATGCTTTAGGCTGGCATTTACCAACTTCCAAGTAAGGTATTTCATAAAAACTTAGTAGTTTTATTTTTCGATGTTTGCAAATGTTGTATATTCCCTTTAAAAAAATGCTTGATAAAACACCCTTCCACAATAGAAACAATTCAATTTTTCACATGTTTGGTTATTTATTTGAAGTCGTTTGACGCTAGAATGGTTTCTTTTGCAATTTGTTCTAGGTTTTCACTTAAATTGACCGGACTTTTCAAACTTGTCAGGAATTTCTTATTTTTTTCTTAATTTTTTGTTTTTTGCTGCGGGTAGCAAAATTCCAACCAATCATTAGCCTTTAGTGAAGGCGCGCGAGTGGCTACTACCCAAGACACGTGACGCGCGCGCCCCGGATGCTGGCACCATGGCACACACAAAACCGCGAGTTCTCCACGAGATCGTGATGGCGTATTGTTCTTTCGTTCTCTTATTTTATTTATAAAAGTATTTCCAGAAATAATTTGAGCGTATGAACTAATTTTTTTTTATTTGAACTTATTTTCTCTTACTTTCCATTACTCACCCTTCTTTCACAAATGGACGCAACTAGGGAAAATCCACGTTGTGATTTGTTAGCCTTTCAACACTCTACTTTATTTGCATAAAAAATATGAATAATTCAACAGAAACGCAAATTCAAGTTAGAAAAGACATTGTGGCTTTGCCACTCATGCGCGCTGAATTGGTCTTCGCTCCAGTCGCCAGTATCAGGTTCGTTAGTAAAACGTCATACATGCGCGTGCATTACTGATTACTAGGGCCCATTGGATAAACGCTCAAGCGGTGTTAGCTTCCGGTTCCAGTGCAACTTAATGGCCAGTGGGCGTGGTTACACTGAGCTGACGTCACACTAACAAACCGGACGGACCCTGCGTAACGAGGTCACAGATCAAAATTACCCAGAATCCCTGGGGATTTTATGTTCAAATGACGTTATCAAAATTACCACACTTGTGCAAATAATTGCGACCCAACACAACAAAATGAGGCATAAGTCGTCAGAGCTACTGTTGCGTTACAGTCTTCTAAACTAGTCCGCCTAACTAGGACTCTACGAATTGCCTTTTTAACATTTGGACATATGTTTTTTTAAAAAAGGCGATTCGTATAAAGTCCTAGTTACTCGGACTACTTCTAATTCTAAACAGGATCTCGCACAGTAAATACATGTAGGCCAATAAATAAAAACTGACATCCCTTTGCTCATAATCACGACTGCATTTTATTATAATATCAGGCCGGTTCATGCATGAAAATCAAAAGCTCAATTTACCATTTTTATATCACATAAGTGAAGAAAAGTACTTAAGACTATTTTTGTAGGATCAGGTCACATATACAATTCGTCCGTTATGTTTCCATATTCCTTTTGTCCTCGTGCTGTTTAGGCGGACAAAGAAAATGCAACAGCTTTGTTTGATACTGTAATAGGTCCAAATAAAAGCGCAAAAGAATCCTATACGAAACGTTTTAAGTGATGTCATTAAACCTCGTGCATTAACTATCAGGGGCGTTTATAATATGTTGCGTCGCATCTTTGATTGTTCCTGTAGGAACATACATGTACATTATGAGTACATCCATAGCATTTCAATAAGCCATTTGCGTGTTAAACTTGAATAAAATCTGGAACACTGACTTAATACAATGCTTTGCATGTTTTAACCAAGCATTCTCCCGACCAAAGAGACTGTTACTATATCACGTGATTCGGGGCAAGCCTTATGCTAGCACCCCCCAGCTCCGGCATGGTCTGGTGTCTTTGTGCCATTCTCACCCATTGTGAACGATGTATTGGTGCTGAGCGTCTCTTACGTAACTATGCAAGAGCTTGCCCCGAATCATGTGATTAGCAAAAGTGTCTTTGGTCTGGAGAATTCATAGTTAAAATGTGCCAAGCATTCTGAGCAAGTCATTGTACCAGACGTTTTTCAAATGTAAATCCCAAAGGGTAGGGGGGCCTATAGGTTACTCGCAAATGGCTTATTCAGTTGGAAAAGTTGTTGTATAAATTTATAATCTACACAGGTCCACGCCTGCCGTCTGTGCGTGAGCACTGGTGCACATGTAATGAGAAAAATTTACATTTTGGCATGCAGCCCTGTTCAGAAAATTTACATTTTGCGTGGACAGTATGTCTGATTTTGAGTCGAAATGACCGCAAAGCATTGGTGAAACGAAACAGCTCTGACAGACATGGTAGGATTTTTGTAATGCATTGATATACCCGAAAAATTTACAGGCGATTTTTTTTCCAAACGAGAT